CACTTGAGAAGACGTGCAGGTGGATGTGCGGAGCTGACGCTGAGGGGCGGGCCAAGAGAGAGCTCAGCAGTGCCGGAGAGGCCGGCGGCACGTGGGCAGGGCTGTCACTGGGCAGCGCCGCAGGGGTCCATGAGGACGCCACGCTGTGTGCCGCCCTCTCCCTTCCTTGTTGGCGCTGTCTAACTCTGCAGCACACTCATCTTCTCCACCATCCTCATGTCTGAACTCTTGGGTGATTTCGGTATCCGTGTGGTGATCCTTCCAACACGGTGGGCTCTCAGTCCCTTGACTGCTTAGTGATCTTGTCCTCCAACTGACCCTGCCCCCAGGATCAAAGGCTGAGCCTTGTCCCTACAACAGACACAACCCTTCCACAGTCCCAGTCCCATTCTCCAACATCTACCTCTGAACCTTCCCTCTCGGACCTGATGCCGGCAACCCATGGGCTCCTCCGCCTTTCTGCGGGATGTCACCTCTCCATGGCCTCTCCACTCTCCTAACTCCTGGACTCGGCTGTCCTGCGGGTCCCTGCAGCATTCAGAGCACAGCCACCTCCCTGGCCTCCCATCTCCTCTCCGAGCCTAACTTCTACTCTCTCCCTACTGTTCCTTGAGCCCGTCAGGCCTGTCCCACTGCAGGGCCGTGAGACGTGGTGCTCTCCTCACCTGGAACCCTCTTCACCATGTACCTGCAGGTCTGCTCCCTAACCTTTCTCATATCTTTGCAAAAACAGCTTCTCAATGAAGCCTTTCTTGACCACCCTGTTTAAACTTGCAAACCCACTTCCAAGCTCCCCACCCCAGTCCCCGGTATGATTTTCCATCATGTCATACACACCAGTAAACATCCTTTCAATTCCACTTCTTGTCTCTCCCCCACTAGGATGCATGCTACGTGAGGGCTGAGCACCTGGTCTGTTTTTTCCTTGTTTGTTTGTTTCTACAGCACACAGTAAGTGCTCAATAAATATCTGTGGAATGGCTGAATGAACAGGATATGGACTAAAAAAAGGACGGGGGACTGAAGTCAGATTCTAGTAGGGCAATCACTATATTTGGGAGACTTCTTCCTATACCATCATTTCATTATTAAAATGGGCAGGTTATGTGTTCTTGGACTTTTAGAAAATGTTTTTACATAACATGTAAATATATGTTACTTTTCTTGTCACCAGGACACTTAGCCTCCAGTCTAGCTCCAATAACTGTGATACTCGCCTGGACAGACAAGTGCGTTAACTGACTGTGGACATGGCCGTTCCTCTCCTCTGCCCCTTGGCAGAGAGGCCTCCATTCCACTCTGCAGTTTCATGCGTGAGTGTTATAGGAGCAGGCCCCATGTGGGGGCCATGGGGACCATGTGCTGCCTGTGGTTGGACAGGCAGGTGTAATGGCCAACCCTGGGGCTCTGTCCACATTCCCCCACAAACCTGTGCACCCCCTCCCCAGCTGCTAATACTGCATGGCAGCCCCCTTCTCCAGAGAGCTGCCCTCAGCCAAAGCCAAGCAACTGACGGGCACAGAAGCCATGAAGTGGTGCATTTCATGACCTGGAGCTTCCAGAGGGATCGGACCAAAGCCCTGCCTCAACTTACTTCCCTCCTGAGAACGCTCCTTCAGTCATTGAAGGAGTCAGGGCTGACGCCCAGGTCCCTGGTCCTACGCTGATGCTCATGCCTTTCACCGAGGCTGGGAGCATGCGAGGAGAGGCCGGCTGGGTGCACACAGAGGTTGAGGTTGACCCTCGTGAATCTCCAGCTAGTAAGCTTGACTGGGGGCTGCACGGGTGGTTCTGGAGATGCGGATTTGGGCACTGCCATGGGCTCGATGTTTGTCCCCCCAAATCCGCATGCTGAAGCCCTCACCGCCACTGTGATGGTATTTGGAGGAGGGGGCTTTGGGAGGTGATTAGGTTTAGATGAGGTCCTGCGCATGGAGCCCTACTAATCTTATGGGATTAGTGTTCTTATAAGAAGATGAAGAGACTGGAGCTCACTCTGTCTCTGCTATGTATAGACTCAGTAAGAAGGTGGTCTCTGAAAGCCAAGAGGGTCATCACGAGAACCCGTCCATGCTGGCACCCTGATCTCAGACTTCTAACCTCCTGAACTGTAAGAAATAAATTTCTGTTGTTTAAGCCACTCAGTTTAAGGTATTTTGTTATGGCAGCCTGCGCTAAGACAGGCATTAACACATCGGTTGCTACTTAAAGCCTATGGCTGCAGACAGATTGCCTCAGGAGAGTGACTAGCAGAGAAGGGAGCTCTACAGTACACTGTGCTGAGCAGACAGCATCCCAAAGAGCAGCGGCTGCTAGACAGGAAAGAAGGAACCAGATGAATGAACTGTAAAGGGACCCAAGGAGAGAGGGCTTGTGTATTAAATGACTCGAATTACGACTAAGTTTCTAGAACATGGGACTTGTGCAAGCTGTCTTCAGGCGTCCTCTTCTTGCGTGGTAGGCACGGGAAGTAGTAGGAGGGGTCTGGAACCAGGCTCTGTGCTGACAAGCGACTTCATTTCAATGTGCCTGTGTGCTTGCCTGCAAAACTGGCTGAGAGAGTGAGGTCGGGGATAAGGGACAGAGAGGACGCATTTCAGGCACTTAGAACACATTCTGGCATGGAAGATGTACTTGGTAAATGTCAGCTATGACCAGGACACAGTGACCCAGAGTGAGGGCAGGTCCTCGCGACATGGCACCCAGCCTGAGTGGGAGGCACACAATAAAGGATCAACTAGCTGGCCGTAAAGCCCTTTCTGACGCAGAGACTAGAAGCAGCCCTGGAAATCGGGTATGGGAGGGTCTATTAGCCATTAGGCTGGGGAAGAAGCGGTGGGTCTCAGAGGGGAGAGGGTAAAGTGGGGGCTGAAGTGTGATGACCCAAAGGGGCCAGGATGGCGGTTCCCAGTCACGGTGATCCCCCAGAGTTATGTGTGGGCCTGAGACCTGTAAAGAAGCTTGGGCTCTATTTCTAGAAATTTATTAGGCCTGAGGTGAGGTCTAGGATATAGTTTTTTAAAAAAATGTCCACACTATTCTGACGTGCACCTGAGTGGAAAATCACAGCTAGGCTGTCAAAAGGTCTTATGGTGACAAGGTCCTCCTGGGAAGATGCGGGGTATGGTGGAGCCTGCCAACACTCAGGTCGCGACTCACCTAAAGCAGCTGGCTCTTCATCACCCGCACCGACCCCACACCTAACCCCACCCTGCGCTCAGAGACCCCGGGGCCAGAGAAAGGGGACCAAGATGGCCTGGGAGGGGAAAGCACAGGCAGAGGTATCAAGGTTACAAAGGATTCCTGTCTCATGTCAGCGCCAACTCCAACATTTCCACCTACTGCTTATACCAGGAGTCACTCTCAATGCATCTAACAGGAAAGCCACAGATGTGAAACATTTCCTGCTGAAACCGTCTTCTAGTTCAATTGTACAGCCCCACATTCAACAGTTTGAATGTCGCGTTACGCATTCAGTCTTCACGACAATCCCTGGGATGTGTGGCACCATGCTGTCTTACAGATAAAGAGTTCACCTGCAGCTGTCCTGGCTGCATTCATCCCAGCTCAGCCCACCAATGTGAACTTCACCCTCCTTCAAAGCCTCAGGCTACGCATGTAAACATGAGGGGTGAGAGGGTCAGGACCCTAAAACCACTTGTCTCTACAATGATCTGTTCTCAAGCTGTATGTTACGCTTTGGAGCAGCACTATATAGTGAAAAAGCACAGACAACCCAGGTGCCAATCTCACAACAGTCAGGGGACCTGACTTAGAATTACACTTCTGTCACAAACTGAGCAACACTGAGCATGTTATTTCAATGCTCTGAGCTTCAGCTGCCTCATCTGGAATTTGAGAATAATACTACCCATCTTTAAAGGACTTAGGAGGGTCGAGCAGTTAACAATGACTAACTTTAATAACATGAGCTCCTGTTTCCAGTCCCTCAGACAAGGACAGGCACAACAGAGAATGAATCCCCATCACGGTCGAAGAATCCACATAAAAGGACTTATGAGGGTCGAGCAGTTAACAATGACTAACCTTAATAACATGAGCTCCTGTTTCCAGTCCCTCAGACAAGGACAGGCACAACAGAGAATGAATTAAAGGACTTAGGAGGGTCGAGCAGTTAACAATGACTAACTTTAATAACATGAGCTCCTGTTTCCAGTCCCTCAGACAAGGACAGGCACAACAGAGAATGAATCCCCATCACGGTCGAAGAATCCACATAAACCTCTTCTTCCTTCTACTTACGAACTCGTTTCTTTATATTTTTGGTGTATGACTGTATGATTTTGGGTGAGCAACTGGGAATGTTTTATTTCTGATAGTAGCTCTAGCTAATGTTTGCCAGCGCCTGCCCAAGATTGGATACTGCCCCTTCAGAAGATCCAGGAGAAGTCTACCAGTGAAGTGGGCTGGAATTTTTGGGTCGTTGTTCCTATGTTTGTTTTGGTTTTCAATGACCTTTAATGTGTCAGGTGACATTCTCCAATGGTCTGCCTGATGTAAGAACATAAAACAAGCTTGGACTACTGCTGTGCATTGAGTGAATTATGTCCCCCAAACTCCATGTATTAGAAGCTTAATCCCCACTGTAACTGTTGAGGGTGGGAAACCCTATTATGGTCATTGAAAGGTGGGGCCTTGAAGAGGTGATTAGATTGTGAGGACCATGCCCTAGTGAATGGATTAATCCATTGATGGTTTAATGGTGGTCACAAGCATGGTTACGATGGCTTTGAAAGGACAGTGCAAGAGAAGTTCTCTCTCTCTGCTTCGCCTTGCTCGCCATGTGACGCCCTGCGTTGCTGTAAAGCCACCACCAAAGAAGGCCCTCACCAGATGTGTTCCCTGGACTCTGGACGTCCCAACCTCTGAGACTGTAGGCAATAAATTTCACTTTCTTATAAATTGCCCAGTTCCAGGTATTTTGTTATAAGCAACAGAAACGGACTCATACCACTACCAGACAGGGTTTTCTCTGCTCCTTAAAGAAACCGTGGATGGACATGCCTCGGACGGCGCTGGCTTCCTAGCCTGCCACTCACACCCCGAGCCCCAGACAGAGAACAGAAGCCCCTCAGAGCGCGACTTACCCACTGCTGGGGACAACTGGACTCAAACGAGCTTCTCAGCTTCTTGCACCGAGCCGCATCCTCCGTGTTCTCGTCGAGGCACTTCCAGTACTCGTCCCGGGCTCCCCAGCAGGCCTGCCGCTCCCTCATAGACGGGGCTGCCATTCCGGGGACCAAGCTGCTGGCCAGATGGCGTCTGACACCAGCAACCAACCTGCAATTGGAAGAGAGTGTCATCCCCTCTCCCCCTGCCACCCCATTTCTTCTCTAAAGTTTCACTTTGGCATTTTAATGATGCTCCTGAAACCAACCGGTTCCCAGTTAACGACACTGCGGGAGCTCTCGGGCCCCTTTACCGTGTCCAGCCCGTGTCCCCCGCGACACCCCCCGCGGCACCCCGTCCTGCACCAGGGGCACCTGCGGCCCGGGGAGGGCAAGGGCCTTCACCGCCCGGCGCCGGCGGGAGAAAGGGTCACGCGGCCCGGGAACCCGCAGAGGAGGGCGCGGCAGGGAGGCCTCCCCGGCTCGGGCTCCGATGGCGTAGACCCCGCCACGCACCAAAGGGAACTCACGCGACGAAATCGCCGGGCCTCTATGACCCCTATGGGCTTCCGTTCACTCTTCCGGGAGGGGCGGGACTTCCGGTCCCGTGTGGATACATGTCCGGGTGACTTCCGGCCTGCGGGGTCAAGGCGCGGGCGGAGCTCCCTGCGTGGGGAGGCACGGGGTTCGTGGGTTCAGAGCGGCCGTGGCCTTAGTAACGACCTGACCCCTCTCTCCCCGCAGCTTCCCACAACCCGAGGAGCTGTGGCCCTTTCGTGAATCCGGATTTCTCCACTGATCGCGTCTTGCGGCGCTCGGAAGGCTCCTGCAGCTCCAGCAGTTGACAGCTCTGCATTCGGTGCTGGGGTCTGATCCTTTCCCAACGCAGCAGCGCGGCTCTTGCAGGGCGGCTGCGTGAAGCTAAGTACCGCCAGGCATATGCTGTACAGTGTGGGAAGTGTCCCCGCGGTAGTCACGGGACTCTGAGGTGCCTTGCTTCAGCCTTGCCAGAGCCACCCACTGCTCTTACTCAGCGTCATCGAGGCCACTTTATATAATGACAGTGTCTTGTAAGTGTGACTAATGGGATATAGAAGGGATGGAAGGAAAGAGTCAGATGACTTCTTCTGAGTCAAAAAGATATTTAAGATTTAAAGTTCATATCCACTTAATGATAAATATATGAAACATATAAAGTGAAACTTGACAGAATTACAAAGGAAGAAAACACATAGCCCTACTGGGTAAATTTTAACAGGCCTTTCTCAGTAACTGGTCAACAAAGAACTGCAAAAACAAGTCCATGTAACCCATAGACAAAAAAAGTCAGTGGTAATGAGAAAATACTTTGAACCAAACAATAGAATACAATCACAACACCTGTGGAATGGAGCTAAAGCAGTTCTCAGAGGGACACGGATAGCCATCAGTAAGTGTATTGCAAAAGAGGCTGAAAGATCCTGAACTAAAACATGCTTTTTCAAGAAGTTATAAAAAGGCAAGCAAGATAAGAATAAAAAAAGTAGAAGGACAGAAATCATGTTAAGAGCAGAAATGAATGAAATGGGTAATAAGAGCATGGTTGCCGGGCCGGCCCGGTGGCGCACTGCTGCAGTGCCCCGCTTGGGAAGTGCGGTGGCGCTCCCGC